AACTGCTAGTCAATTATTAGCGCTGTTGCCACATCTACATAGTCTTTATGCGTTCATTAAATATAATTTAAAACTACTTAAATATGATATTTTTATGTTGTTAATTAGTCAATATGTATGCTATGTGCATATGAGTAGATTTCCTTGCTATATAGATAATGTTTATCGCAAATAATTTCAATAGAATTTAATTTTTTCAAATTGGCAGCGGGTTTTAGTCCCATAAGAAAAGCATGGGACCCCCCTGCGCTCCTCACTTCCCTCGGACCCCGATATACCTTCTTAAGTTATATGTTGTGTTTGAGGATTTACCGCACAAATTGTATTATTTAAAAAAAGTAACATTTTTTTTAAATATCGTTTAAGTGATGAATATTGTTTTATCTATAATAATGGGTAAAAATATGTTGAATTCGGATATAAATACGTCAACCATTGGTGGAGACAGCGGAAGTCAGAAAAGAAGTTATACATTTGACGTCACTGGGTGTTTTTGAAATTGGATCATTGCTTGTAACTGCTAATGGCAGTTACTCTTCTATTTTATTCGCTATTTTCAAATTCAAGGTCACTCACCACTGAAGATAAAGACAGTGAAGGAAGCATTACTAAGGTCACTACGGAAGATCAAAGCAGGCCGCCATTGTCTGATTAGCGGTTTCGTCCGTACGGCTTTAGAAGCAGCAACAAGAATCACAATCAATATTAGGGCGGGGCTAGGGGTTCTTATAAAGGCTGTGCCGAATATTCAAAAATTTAAATTTTAAGACTACCAATAATTAATACAGCACCACAGCATATTATTCTTGACTTCTTAATATTATCACTTTCAGATATTTTGCAAGATGCAAAAACAACTATAAATGACGAAGTTACAGCAACACAAATAAAACCGCTTTTGCGTGACGACCCAGAAGATAATTGTTTAACAAATAACACAAATTTGAGTAAAGACTCCCTAACTAATGTAAACGTACCATCAAAACCAAGATTTTCTGTTATAAGTTTAGGAGATAGAGCAGCATCCGTAACTGTTATAAATGACTTGGACGATGGAGACGACAACCAAAAGTTAGTTGATATTTTATTTTTCCATCCATCTTAAATAATCACAGCCACACAAAAAAAGAAAAGTTGTCTGTACTTTTCATGCGACATATGACATATGTTATCCGTAGTATTTTTTTGGCTCCTGATCACGAATCCGGTGTCAGAATTGAGCTATCACATCACAGGAATTTTCTGACCTCAAAAAACAGGTCAAAAATAGTAAAAATTCACGAAAAAGTGGTAAGAAAAGTACAAAAATTTTTTTTTCTATATTCAAATGTTCATTTATATGGTTAAGATCCCGCCGAATGTGAATTTGCGGTCAGCATTGATGGTTCTTTTTCTAACCTAAAAAAAACGTGTCAATTAAGGTCAGAATCACGTATTTAAAAAAAAAACAACCAAATTTGGTATACGGAGGTTTTCGGGGTCGCTGATCACGGATTCGAGGTCAGTTTTGTAAAATTCAAGATGGTGGATCTAATATGGCCGACCAAATTTTCAAAAATTAAGACATTCTCGTCAGATTTGGTATACGGGGTCACTGATCACGAATCCGAGATGAGATTTACAAAATTCGTTTTTAAAATATTAATCAATTATCTATGTACTTTATTTCCTGAAATTAGGCAGAAAACCCGTTAATAGATCTTTTACAGAAAAAAGAACAAGATATAGCCGAAAAAAGAAGGTGTATATATACGTATACCAAATTTGACGCGAATGTGTTATTTTTTGAAAATTTGTTCGGCCATCTTGCCAATTTTGCAAAATTAACCTCGGATCCTAGCACCTTTTCATAAATTTTTACTATTTTTGACCAGTTTTTTTGAGGTTAGGAAATTTCTGTGATGTGATAGCTCAATTGTAACACCGGATTCGTGATCAGGAGGCAAAAATACTACGGGCACCATGTCACATGAAAAGTACAGACTACTTTTTATTTTTTGTGTGGCTGTGATAATTGTATGCAATAATTGTAACAAAATTTCAGTATAACTTGCGTGGATTTAAGTCTACTCAAAAATGTTAAGTACCTCAATGTATCTCTTGGAGTTTCGCTCTCTTATACGTCTGACGTAATGTTTTTTGCCCTTATACCTTTGATTTTAAATCGAGCTGGATTTAGTACGCCTGACATAGCTCTCTTGATGATGGTTTATTTTGGGTCAGATCTTGTTTCGAGGATTTTGATATCTGTAATAAGTGCTTTCTGCAAGATTAGGAACCGATATGTATTTTTGGCAGGATCTTTCTTTTCAGCCATATTTAGGATTGGTAAGTACTGACTTTTATTACAACTAAATATAATTCGGATATGTGTGGGTCGAATATGGAACAATGGGAGAAATGAGAGAATGACAGTAGAAAATTTTAACAAAAAAAAATCATTGAAAATTCATATAAAAGTCTAAAAAGAGATAATGAGGCTGATAAAATGAATGAACTTGTTTATTGTCATGGACAATGCAAGCTACCTCAGTAAACAATTAATTTCCTTATTTATGTTTATATATAAACTAGGTTGGAAACATTTTATTGTCTACAGCTATACATATACTGATTTAGACTAGTAGTGATCAACTATTCTAAGAAAATACACTTCCAAAATGTATCTTGTTGACATTTTCATGTAAAATATAGTTTCATAATTTTAGTCGAGGAAATAAAGCACTAAAAACGGCCTTACCAGGAGACGACGTGGAAACCGGCCACCCTGGACACTAGGTAACTCGGAGACCATTGCCGTCGTGATGATATTCGTGTTGAGCAACCTCAAAAACCCCGAGATAACGAGTTTCGGCTAAGTTTATAACGAATTTCCACAAAACTCCAGGAGACGTCGTGGAAACCAGCCACCCTAGGCACTAGGTACCTCGGAGACCATTGCCGTCATGATATTCGTGTTCAGCGACCCCAAAAACCCCCGCGTAGCAAAATTGAACTCATTTCCGTCAATATTTTCCGAGTTATACATTTTTCATATTTTAACTCTTCGAGATGCAATTTTAAAAATGCATTTGTCTTATGCACCGATGCAATTTTCATTTCTCATTGATCACATAGGGTCACAAACTTTCTGGACGCTCTAACGAATCGAATGCAAAAAACCGCATTGCGATCCATCTTACTGCACAGATTTCAGAGGTTCAGTGCTTTATTTCCTAGACTATTTATAATGAATTAGTTTCGGTTTGTGTACAGGCTGGTCCATTTTCGATGGGATTTCAGGGTATCTCAGAAACTACTAAAGATATGATAAATCAGACACCACGTTCTCGAGCTCGATTTTCATGGCAAACTCTACTGTCAAATCAGAAATTTGCTATCTTCATTTGTTTCTGAGTTACAGGGCGTTTCTCGTTATTGTGACACTTTTGAACATGTCTGTATCTCAGCTGTTAAATAAGTTAGAGTTAAAGTGAAAACTGCTCAAGACTAATTCTTTGGCGTAGAATTGAATGCCGGTATTAGATTTTTAGTAGGTCTTAAGATTCCGGAGTTATGACCCAAAGTTATAATTTTTTAAATGGAAATCGTAGCTGGTTATGACCTAAAAAAATGGAGATTTTTTTTTGCTTTTCAGCAATATACCACATGCTATAGTTATTTTTCCAAACACAGAAGATACGGGGTGTTTTATATATAAATTCGATCCTTTTTTACATTTTAATATGGCTGGCTATGAAAATACATACAAAACTATAATTCTTACTTTTACAAAACTCATATCTGTTGTAAAAATATGACGTTTATTTAAAATATATATTACAGATAAGAAAAGACAGAGTTTTCAAATTTTTATTCCACTTCAACTGAAGTTACAATATTAAACGTAAATTAAACAATAGTAAGTACCTACATCAATAAAAACTTTCAAAAATGATAGCTAAATGTTCAAATTGCCGTCCCTCAACTGTCACACATTTCACGCATCTTCTGGCAACGCTTCGGGTAGCATTCATTAAATGTATAGGTATTTGAAATATTATTAAAAGGAATTTTAAATATAATGTCTTTTAGAAAACCTCAAAGGAAAAAGTCCAACGGACTCAAATCAGGTAACCTAGCTGGCCATCTGATCGGTCCGTTTGTTCCTATCCACCTATCTCCTAAAATTTCGTTAGTATTATATTATCACACGAGTATATGTTGTGCATTTAAAATAAATGTCATATTTTTACAACAGATATGACTTTTGTAAAAGTAAGAATTATAGTTTTATCTGTATTTTCATAGCCGGTCATATTAAAAAGGAAAAAAAATATAATTTATATATAAAACACCCCGTATCTCCCGTGTTTGTAAAAATAACTATAGCATGTGATATATTGCTGAAAAGCGGAAAAAAATCTCTATTTTTTTAGGCCATGGTCAGCTACGATTTCCATTTAAAAAAATATAACTTTGGGTCATAACTCCGAAATCTTAAGATCTACTAAAAATCTAATACCGGCATTCAATTCTACGCCAAAGATTTAGTCTTGAGCAGTTTTCACTTTAACTCTAACTTATTTAACAGCTGAGATACAGACATGTTAAATAGTGTCACAATAACGAGAAACACCCTGTAACTGAAAGAAGAAACAAATGAAGATAGCAAATTTCCGATCTGACAGTTGAGTTTGCCATGAAAATCGAGCTCGAGAACGTGGTGTCAGATTTATCATATCTTTAGTAGTTTCTGAAATACCCTGAATTCCCATCGAAAATGGACAAGCCTGTACGTATCAATTATTTTAAGCAAACAAATTTATTTATCAGTTACAGTACTTGTCACTTGTCATAAGTATAAATATTTTCACATGTTGATAATTTATTTTTAAACAATTTAATATCTTTATTGGGGTCTAGGGAAATATTTACTTTAGCACTATGCAAATAAAACTCCATTGTGTTCATTGTGTTAAGTTATTTGTAGAATTTTGTCAACATAATACAGTAGTCAAAACGGATTTAATGTCAATTTTTTTAATAAAATTCGATCTAAATATTTTCAGCATTTGTCCTCAGTGGTAACCAAATGTACAAAATGATAACACTCGCTGCATTGGGATTCTTGAGGTGTTTTATACAAACTCCACTGGCACTTGTCTTTTCAGAGGAATACAATGAACAGTTTCCTACTGCCTTCTCTTTGTACATGGTGGTTTCCGGTTTTGTCAACATAGCAGTTGGGTCAATAATTAGTAAGTATACGACAAATAAAAAAATGTATCATGTCGGTCATCTAAAACAAAATGAACTTTTTTAAGCCGTGTTTAACTATTTTCTTTATTTAGGGGAGACTATACAGGGCTGGAAAATCCACATGGTCCATCTGCCTTTACATGAGAGCGACAAAGTAAAGTAAAGAAATCCGTGCGATAGACAAGGATGGCTATAGTGAAGACGTTTCATAATCTGAATAGTCACCGCTCGTTTCGGGTTAGAACTATTCAGATTATGAAACGTCTTCAATGTAACCATCCTTGTCTATCGCACGGATTTCTATGACTTACTTTATCGCTCCACGTAACGGCCGATGTACCATGGGGACTTTCCGAACCTGTAGATACAGGCAATAAAACACTCCATAAACCAGTTACGGTCATTTATAAAACAAAATTCTGTTAGTTTCGTTATTTAAAACCCCTTTAAACGATTTAAGAAACTTATTTTTGTCCACAGCTGTACATATTTAATTGTGTCCGTATTTTAGAACAATATATTTTGTATACAGGATGTTACAAAAAAGAAGGTCAAACCACGTTGTTAAACGAGAATAAATGTTGTATTAAAAAAAAATTTATAATTTTTATAAAAAAAAAAACACGCAAATTATTGTTGATTCGGTACTTCAAAATCATCAAGGAAAATCACCTAAATAAGTACCTACCAGTATTAATATATAATAAAATTTAAATTAGATTTTTTAGTTCCTAACAGATGTATAAATTACAAGTTGTTTCAAGTGTACTTGAAATAGCCAAATTGTGTCAGATTGTTTTGTGTCTATTGCTGAAATTTATATCATTTCTTTATACTTTTACACCACTTGCACCAGACTTAACCAAAAGTACTAGAGTCCAAAGCGGTGAATTAGTGAGTACAATATGTCTTACTTAATTCTAATGTAAGTCTGCAACATAGTCACTTGCTTTAATTTACCCTTTTGTGCTCAAGTGCCCTGAATCAAATCCATTGAAAGCTTCGATCAAGACAATTGCACAATGAATCTTGCAGTAAACCTGATGCTGATTTCAGCAGTAGGTACCTACACAGCAGTCTTGTATGAGTGTCTTGTGCAAGATTTTGCTACCAGGGTTGGCTCAGTTTTTAAATATCAGCCAATTACTCGCGAATTTAATAATTTTTGGATAAAAAGAATCATTTATTTGATGTTTTAGGTGTTGTGAAATCTTTCACCCAAAGCGATGAAATGGTGGTTCATGTGCTGACGGGAGCATTCTTAATTACTAGCATTTCCTGGATTGTGGAACTAACTTGGAACAAAATTAAGACCAAAGATACCTAAAATTTTTTAGTGGATAATTTAATAGGATTGTACACTTATTTTTTTGTAAATTTAATTTAAGTATAACACAATAGACCTAGTCCAGTCCTATATCATATATTTTTAGAGAGTGAAGTATGTGACATGCTTAAATATATATTTAACTGAGATATATTAAAATCTGCTATCAAAATACTGTTTCGAATGATTAAACAAAATAATACAATCTGTTTTATAAATCGCACAAACATTGATTTATATTAAACAAATGCATAATTTATCTCTAATTAAATACTTGTATTTAATATCACGTCCAGATAATATTATAGATAATTATGATGAATAAATGTATGTAGATCTTCCATCTTACATTTACAAAGTGAACCATTTTCATCATGTGACCCTCTTTTGGCAATATCATCAAACCTTTTTAAAACTACCTTGTTTACGTACTGATGTGATACGATGAAAAAATTCCAACTCTGGTAATTACGATTATAAGTTGCCCACTTAACTAAAACTAAAATTTAAATTAAAAAATAAGCATTGGCGACCTATAAAAATTTAAATCTGATCTATATAAAAAATCTAGAACTTATTTACCTACTTCTATTATGATATCGACTTATGATATCTTGCATTTAAATCTATAAAGAAATCTCAATACCTATACTCCGCGGCCGAAATTATAGAGAGTGACTAATTGCTAGCTTTTGGACTAGTAAGGGGATGAAGCGTGTCGGGAACGAAAATCCATTGGCGTGTATGCGTAAAAGGCAACAAGATATAGAAAATATTAAAAAAGATTATAAAACATAACATCTAATATTTTTTACGGTTTGCTATAACCGGCATTTTGATCCATTTTAATTATTACAGCATTTTAAAACGTCCCAGTTGTGTTTTTTTAATTTATAAATTTATTATAGGCATGGAATTAGACACCTCGTCTACGCTTATGCTATGACGTTTCCCAGGACTCGTAAATCAAGTCCGTTTACACCGAATTAAAAAAGCATTTCCCTATTCCCTAGCAAGTGCAAAAGACAGAGATAGAATATAGATCGACGTTCAGTGTAACTCAGTCTATAGACGATTATAGATTCTATCGATGTGCGTAGCGAGCGGCACAAAGATAAATAATATTGAACCGTATAAAAATCATTTTATATTTTATACGCATTACGGTAATAGTGTTTTTATATTGTCTGAATCACTCTTTATATAATTTCGACCGCGGAGTATAGTAGGCTTTTGTCCACTCTGGGTTTTATAAGTCACACTACCTTGTGTCGTTTGCGAACGACCCATACAAAAGAACTATATTTTATGAATGAAATAAACCGAATAGCAGAAAAGTGAAGAATCTATTCATAGGCTCCTGTCGCTGTATGTATTCGCTCTGTATTAACTTAAAAACAGAGATTTTAAACATTATTTGCCTTATGATGGCCCGAACTACATTTGTGATTATAATTATCATAATATATCGGTACAAAAAAATTAAAGACAAAGGGTTTGGATCTCTTGTGTTGGCCACGAATTTAAGGTCGCATTTATAAACCACTGACACAGTCTAGATTTTTTGTATGTTTGTGCTGTAATCTTTACTCTGTGGTCAGTGGTCATCATTTCAACTTAACTGTCAAAGTTTTATTTTCAAAGTTGTAAATTAACCTAAAAATTTCTATATACTATTGTACCATTAGTGTAAATACCTCTAACTGTTAAATATTTGTTATACAGTCCAAACAATATGTCGTTTGGTACTGGTTCTACGCCTAAAACGGCCGCTTCCGGTTTTACACTTCCTAGCCAGCCAGCAACAAGTATGTGAATATATGTAATTGTAATATCTCTGTAATTTCATTAATATTTTAGCGGCACCTACACCCGGATTTCAATTTAACACTGGTTCCGGAGATAATAAATTACAAAATAAGCCTGCGACAGGGCTATTTGCTTCATCCAGCGTTACAGGATTATCGTTAGGCTCGACTGCCCCCAAGACAGTTTCATCTGCACTATCCTTCGGAGCACCTGCAGTATCGACATCAGCTCCATCACTAGGAGCTGCAGGTATGGGACTTTTATAACGTTAATAAATTTAGAGTCTCGTGGTAATTTTCTAATGTTTAGCAACAAGTACAGCATTATCATCGGCTCCACAACTTAGCTTTGGAGCAAGTACAACCACATCTACATCATTTACGCCTATATTAGGATCAACAGCAGCTTCTAGTTCAACAGGTAACAAACAATAACTTAAAAAAATATATTATTTTCATTTTTGAAGTCATTTTGTATAATAGAAAATATTCCAGGGATAGAGCTATGATTATTTTTTTCAGGAATTACACTTGGGACGAGTACTGCATCAAGCACAGCTCCTGCAAAATTGTCATTTGAACCAAAAACAACAGTAACTGCACCATCTACTTTAACTTCCACAGCTTTACCTACATTGTAAGTACAAAAATAAATGTTACTCATTATTGAGTTGATTTCACCAATATTTTTCTTCTACTCAAATAAGATTCATGGATTTGACAAAATAGCCATATATAATTATTTTATTTCAGAGCCCCAACAAACGTGACATCAACGACTTCTTCAATACCAGCAACAGGTTCTCTAACGTTCGCCCAATTAGAAGATTCCATAAACAAGTGGACAATCGACTTGGAAGAGCAAGGTAAATTTTTTATCAATCAGGCAAAGCAGCTGAATGCCTGGGATACACTATTGATATCGAATGGCGAAAAAATATTGAATTTAAATAGTAGCATTGAAAGAGTAAAGCAACAGCAGCAGCAGCTCGATCAGGAGTTGGATTTTGTACTTGCTCAACAAAAGGAGTTGGAGGAATTAATAGTGCCATTAGAAAAAGAATTAGTTGAGATACCTGTTACCGATATAGACAGAAATCAAATGTAAGTGATACAAAAACAATTTTTTTTATTCTCGATATTTATATAATATTTATTTAGGTACCAGTTTTCCGAAATAATTGATTCGCAGCTGAAACAAATGTCGGATGATTTGAAGGAGATTATCGAACATATAAATGAATCTAATAAGGATGAAGAAGTTTCGAATCCAGTAAGTAAATTTTAAATTTTCTCAGATTTGTTATTTAGTAAGAAGTAGTGATGGGAGAACTCAAATGAAAAAGCGAGTACTACTCGATGGTACCAAATGACAACAAACAGTATGTTTTTTTTTGCTATCTACTTCTTAGGCATTACATAAATGAAGGGGTTTACTTGAGATTCTATCGTTTGTAGAGCAGTCGAGTATCGGGTGCTCAGTGTTCAGTGCTCGCTCGAGTATATTAATGACGTAATGAACAATTGGCTTCTTCACTGCGAGTTGTTCATTTTCATCTCAAGATTATTTGCCAGAATATTTGTGCCTATCTCTAGTGCACACGCATGCATATTCTAATTGTCTAATTCATTATAGACCAGTTAAATTGTCAAAAATATTTTGCTTTTTTGCCAAAATTTAGTTTAGTAAACAAAGACACATAAAAATTAGTAAAAATTCCGTAGAATTGAATGAACAACTTTACCGTAGCTGAATGTTAGGGTTTCATTTTCAAAAGTTTGTAAAAAACAGTTTTTTTTCATTAAAAAAAAAACTAAATTTAGACAAAATGTTGTAGACAAAAATTGCAGTAATTTTTATACAAAAATTTTGAGCCCAGTCAATTGATGAACAAATGTGTTATTGCAAAAAAATTGTTAAAAATTACATTTTTTAAAAACTTCTATGAGGGGTCGGCAAGTAACTTTAGGTGGGGGTCCGGTTACGGGGTTTGAAAATTTCTAACGAGGTCCAGAAAAGAAAATTCATATTACTAATTTTTTATTTTTATTTGCACTCAAATATTTTAATCTGCTTACTAATCATTAAGAACTCAAATCAATTACACAATATCGTAAAATACTAGAAAAAATTATAACATTGGCACTCAAACGTAAAAAAATATTTTTTTAATAATTTATTTGTGTAATTTATACTCGCGGTCTAGTATTTTACCTTCCGCGGTCCAGACCTGGACCGCGGTCCTCCAGTTGCCGACCGCTATTCTATAGCTTTAAATCGAAAGAAGATTTTTTTACGAAACTTTCAGAAATGTAGTTCTTGGCAGGTAGAATAAGTGCATTTTTGTAAAATCGAAAAATATCTGATAGTTTTAGCAAAAATTGAGATTTTTGAAAAAAGGAAATTTTTTTCATGTTTCAATAAATTATACAGTTATGCGCTTACGTGACCCATCTTGGGCTTAAAATTTTCTCGAAGAGTTGTACTTTTCTATGCAAATTGTGTGCGTATTGCAAATTAATTGAAAATATGCCAAAAATCTACCAAAACTTTGACTTCTTTTTTGCACTAAAAAAAATAACTTGAATACTTTTACTTCAATATAAAAAATAGTCCGCAATTATTGACTCCCATTTTTTTCTGCTCAACACGCTGATGTGCGTGGTTGGGGGAGAAAAACTGTGACTCAGCATTCTCACTTTGAACAGTTGTTTGTTGTATCGATGAAATGAGAAAGTGATCTAGAGCATCTAGATGTCAATACCAAAGTTGCCTGTTGATTTTTTTTCATCAACACTGATTTCTTTTGAAAAAAATTTTTTGAATTTATTTAAATAAGGTTAATACCTTTATAATAGAGTAAAAATATGAAATCTAATAAAAAATACATATTTTTAAAAGAAAAATACAATTTTTGGCCTTACAAGGTGTACTTTTTTGTTTTAGATTACACAGATTAGTCGTATTCTGAATGCCCATATGAATTCTCTCCAATGGATCGACAGAAATACTGCTCAAATCAGTGCACAATTAGAACAGATATCTAAAATGCAGGATCAGAACAGAAGGAACTTCTCTTTAAACCAGTCTTTAAATCATTCAATGAATATGTAGATAGTAGTGTTTTTTCTTTTTTTTTTGTAAATTAAAGTGTTTTTACGTAATAATAAGTATTCTGTATTTCAAGATAAGTGTGAAATATAATTATTTTGAAATTTTATAGAAAACGTATGCTTCTTTTATTACTTCCTGTACAGTTTACTAAAATACAAAATAAATCAAGCAGTTGCCGAAAGAATGAACATGTAAACATTTTTGAGTTGAAGTAATGTGATGGATATAGTACCTTTTACGAAATGTGTTTTTCTTCCGATGATAATTAAATTCTGGAAATGGAGTTATATTTTTAGTGGATAATGCTGAAGTGTAGGATTTTTCTTACATGACACTGTTCTCTTTATCCTTTTTTGTATTTTCAGCTGTTTTCAAGATATTAACGACTGAAAATCACTTTTCTGAAATTCTTGACCTTAAAAAAGTGTATGAAATTGGAGAAGTATTTATTCAAACTTTTTTTTCAAAATGTAAGTAACTAGAGTATTGTGCGACAGTTTTCAATAATTTTTAAGGGGTATCTCAAAATTTGCATAACATCAATGGCATTCGCACACTCACAAATTATTATTGTTTATTAAAAAAATACAAATAATATTTGCTACATTCTTCAGTCATTTCATGTTTCCATTTTTTATGTTATAATTCTTTTTATATCTATTGCTGTTCCGAACTATACCCGACGCTGTGTGCTGTTGGATGGGATGGTTTTAGATCTCAGTTGCCAGTCAATTGGTATCGTTTCCGTAGTTAAGATACGGCGAACTGACATTATTATTAAAAAAAAAACTGTCAATTTGATTTTTTGTTATCTATATTCATTACCTTGCTAAATAAATATATACTAAAAAATAGTTGCTACTTCAAAATTCGCCTACGTTTTAAACACTTGCAACATGAGAAGCCCATAAAGCAATTTTCTCCCCAAAATAGGAATATCAACTACGTAGAGCATTTTTTAAGTTATAATTCTTTATAGATATTGCGTTTCAATTGAAGATTATTTGATACTTCAAAATTCGCCTATGCTCTGATTAGCTGCAATATTTCTACGTGAGAAGCTCATAAGGCAGTTTCCGCCGCAAAATAGGAACAGTAACCACGTAGAACAGCTCTGCTCACATACAGAAAGTTCGCAAACTAATTTTTTTACAGCTCTCCAAGAATTCTCAAGAGGCTCCGGAGACGTCGCGGCTACAGCCAGTATCAGAAGCACGAATTTCACCCATGTTTCAAAATTTTTAGTACATAAAAATGTAGTTAAAATAATTTCAACTTCAAGCGTCCTCTATATATATATACAGGGTGTCCCGAAATTAATGGGACACAGAGCAAGAGTAGATTCCTTACATCAAAATAATGCGATTAAGCCAAACTTAACTTGGTCCATTTGTAACTAATAAAAAAGTTACAGGGCGTTAAAGTTGAATGTGGGATACTTGTTTTATGTCGATAAATTTAACCGTTTTCGATTTATTTCTTGTTTTTCTATTGGATTCAATAAAATAAAATAAAATAAAAGTTTGTAGTTACTTACGTAAAACTGGTTTGGTTATTTGAAAACAAATTGTACTATTGACAATTAGCTGATTGACAAGTAACTTATATTAAATAGTGTATTCCTTTAAGTTTTTGTTTACAATTAATAATATCGCGTGAAATATGCCTCGCCATAATTTATTTTCTAATGAAAAAATGCGAGATATGGTCTGTATTTATGCAAAAGAAAATTTTAATGGACGTCATGCGTGTCGCAGGTATTTAGAAAGTTACCCAAATAGATTACAACCAAATCACAATTATTTAAAAATCTTTATTATGACCGGTTAGGAGATACTGGATCGTTTCGTCCTAAAAGACGAGATGCTGGCCGTCCAACAACTGTTACTCCAGGACAAAAGAGGATATTTTGCTTCGTGCAACAGAAAATCCTGAAATAAGTTTATGACGAATGTCTGCGGCTGTAGTGGTACCTAAATCATCTATTCATAGATTATTTTATAATGAAAAACTGTACCTGTTTCACTTTAGCCCATTGCAGAATTTACTACATGCAGATTTTCCAGATAGGGAACAATTTTGTCTTCTATTCTTAGACCGACACAATGATGATCCACACTTTTTAAGCAAGGTGCTGTTTACAGACGAAGCCACATTTATTCGCCGGGGCGTTTTCAACTTCAGAAATAAATATGTTTGGGATAATGAAAACCCGCATGTATTAAGAGAACGTCATTTTCAACATGAATTTAAGATAAACATTTGGTGTGGTATTGTTGCAAATCATCTGTTGGGCCCTGTTGAATTGCCATATTATCTGAATGGCCGTTCTTACTTACATTTCTTAGAACATGATTTTGAGGAACTTATTGATGATTTACCATTAAATGTAAGACACAATGTTTTTTATGCAAGACGGTGCCCCTGCCCATTTTTCTGTACAGGTGCGAAACTATCTTAACGCACAATTTCCCCAACGGTGGATAGGTCGCGGCAGCACGTTTTCATGGCCCGCACGAAGCCCAGATTTAAACCCCATGGATTTCAGTATTTGGGGTATTTTGAAATCAAAAGTTTACAGTGACCCTAGTAATACACGGGATGAGCTGTGGCAAGCAATTTTAAATGCTACGAATTTATTAAGAAATTAAGAAACGCTATTCAATATTAGACAATCATTTATCAAACGAATAAGATTGTGTATTAATGTAAACGCGGGTCATATTGAGAATTTAATGTAGCCATGCACCTGAATGTAATTAAATTATTATTAAAAATAATCTATAGTTTTTTACGTAAGTAACTACAAACTTTTATTTTATTTTATTGCATTCAATAGAAAAACAAGAAATAAATCGAAAACGGTTAAATTTATCGACATAAAACAAGTATCCCTTATTTGTGAAAAATATATAGGAGGGCAATATTTTTCTATTAAAACTTTCGTACACACACTGATAAAAAAGTTATAACCAGTTTTTATCAACCAAGAGTACATTTCGTAGCGCCCTCTAGCGTCTACAGTACGGATTCGTTTTTCTGGTCCCAGAAAACTCCCTAATCCAAATTTTCAAAATAATCCTTTGAAAACTTTCTAAGAACTTTAAGAATTTCGAATTCAAAGTTTCAACTTTATCGCCCTGTAACTTTTTTATTAGCCACAAATGGACCAAGTTAAGTTTGGCTTAATCGCATTATTTTGATGTAAGGAATCTACTCTTGCTCTGTGTCCCATTAATTTCGGGACACCCTGTATATATGAGTGGCGAATTTTTTGATACCCAGCAAATATCTTTTTTTACTACAAATAGGTATGTCACTAATAGGTTATTTTTTTTACTATAACTATGTGCACTTGATTGGATTCAATTGTTAATTTTGTCTTTAAATTTTCAACAACTCGTAATAGTATCTACGTATAAATAACTCGATAAGAAAAATGAACTCCAATTTAAAATGTTTATCGACTCAAAGTGAATTGAACAGAGAAACAGAATAGGGAAGAGGGCGGGAAATTAAAATAGTGGATATACAATAATTATTATTGAAAATTGTAATTTTCAATAATAAATATTGTGATCTTATGTGATAATCTTTGAATTCAAGTACCGATACTCGTCTTGGGAAAATTTTAAATTATTGTACTATTGTACTATAATTTGCACGAGGTACTCTCGTACTTTTTGAAACTAAATTGTATTAACTTTTATGTGCAATAGTACGCTTAGGAACATCGATCTTTTGTGCGGTGCGTAAATATTGTTCCACAATTTAAATAAACGCCATTATTCCATGGCTAGAAATTGGCCTCAATGATTTGGGATCGAGGGGGATTATCCCTCTTTATCCTGCCTCATCTCGTGTAGGACACGACTGGACAGTCTTCGTAGGTGGGCCCCATCCGTCGTCTACTCCGACCGCAAATGCGGCCGGTGTAGGCACTTTGTGAGACCTCCTTTTGTCCTGGCTGAGCCCCGCCGGCTACGGTCAAAAAGTTGGTGTCTAGGTCTTTTGTGTTTGTCGGTTACGTCGGGTACGTAGTCAACGGCTGGCCTGCGGAGGGGATTGTCATATCTAGCGGCTACGTCAAACCGCGCCATTATTCCATGGTTAGAAATTGGCCTCAATGATTTGGGATCGAGAGGGATTATCCCTCTTTATCCTGCCTCATCTCGTGTAGGCCTGGACAGCCTTCGTCGATGGGCCCCATCCGTCGTCTACCCCGACCGCAAATGCGGCCGGTGTAGGCGCTTTGTGGGACCTCCTTTTGTCCAGGCTGGGCCTGGTACGTAGTCAACGGCTTCCTTGAGGAAGGGATTGTCATGTCTACCGGCTACGTCAAACCGTTTCTCCGCGTTTTGTCTTATTGTCTGTGTAGCGTTTGTGTATTGTAAGTCCCGTAATATGTCAGTGTTTCTTACGTACCAGGGCGCGGCGGTGGCCGTGCGGAGGGCTATGTTTTCCACAGCCTGTAGTGACTTTAAATGGCTGTTTGCCGCGTGACCCCACGCCGTGGAAGCGTAGGTTAGCTGCGACTGAAGTACCACCTTTATAAACGTTCGCTTATTCCTTAAACTGAGGGTGTTTCCACCTTTGAGTAAGGGATAGAGCCTAGCCCTGGTAGTTTTCGCTCGCGCCACCGTCTCCACGATGTGCGGTTTCCACGTGAGACGCTGGTCCATCGTCACGCCCAGGTATCGTGTTTGTCGATTCCAGATGGGTTCCTGGGATAGTGTCAGTCTGTCGAGGTTTTGTGGAATTTTTCGTTTGATAAAAAGGATAGCCGAACTTTTGTTGGGATTAATTTTGACTTTCCACCTGTTGCACCAGGTTTTAAGTTGGTCTAAGGAGTTTTGGAGGAGGGAGGCGGAATATCTAGGATCTACGGATTGGGATGTGATTGTCAGGTCGTCGGCGTATAAGTATATGTTGGTGTTGGGGGGATGTGGGATGTCGGAGTTGTAAATGGTGTATAGGTGTGGGGACAGGCCTCCTTGGGACGGGTGGTGGAAATTTAAATGCAACTACACTGCAGTCTGCACTGACGTAGATTTAGGGTACGTTCTGAAATTAACCTAGAATTTCAGCAGAAAGCACTAAAT